TAAGTCGTCCCTGCAATAACTCCAAATGCACACGACAGCTTTTCTAAAATTAGAGTGATTTTAGATAAGTTTATTTCTAATCTTGTCAACCAAACCTATTACAAACCTAGTAATAGTGTTTCGGTTGACGAACATTTGTGTTCTTATAAAGGGCATATGTGGGCTAAGGTGTTTATTAAGTCTAAGCCTGGACGTTATGGTATAAAGTTTTGGGTTTGTTCTATTTTTACCAAATGAGTTTTATTTATGAAGTCAAAAATGACGGATAGTTATTATTAGTTTGACATGTATGATCAAATTTAATAATTTAATTATTTGTTTATTTGAGTTATTTATAGTTTTCTAACTTGTAGATGTGTGCTGACTGTGAGACAGGAATGACTCTCAACCTCCAAATGTACTGTGGTAAGTGTGGTGGTAAGGAGGACAATCAGGGCTTTAGAGTGGTCAGGGACATGGTGCTACCCATGTTATGCCGTGGTAACAAGTTTACCGTTGTGTGTGACAACTTCTTCTGTACGTTAAGGTTGTCACACTACCTTGCTTCATGTGGGTGCCAACTTTTGGGAACCATGAGGATCAATAGGAAAGAACTTCCTGACGAAGCAAAGGCCATCAAAGGGAGAACTCCCGATACCACCATCTTTTTCTCGAAAGGAAAGTGTAAGCTCATCTCTTACTTCAATGAGAAAAAGAAGCTGGTATTGGTCTTGTCAACCTGCCACGAAAAGAATGAAATTGAAGTCGTCGAGCAGGATGTGTTCATTGGCAAAGAAAAAATGACAATACACAAACCCCAGCCCATTCTTGATTACAACCACAAAATGGGTGGGGTTGACACTGTGGATCAGATGACCAGGTATTATACGTGTAGACGTCGAACAAACAGGTGGAATATCAGGGCTTTATATGATATGATTGATATAGCTGCCTTAAACGCGTATAAAACGTACTCAAATTACCACCCTTGCAAACGAGTGGATTTTTTGAACAATCTTTCTGGTGCTTTAATGAAAATGAAATGATTTTTCTATTTTGTTTGGTTTTTTATAAAGTAGGAACTGTTTATTTCATTCAATACGTGCTTTTTTATTGAACCTCGAAAAAAATTATCGTGAAATAAAATAAAAATAGGGGTCATTATACCATTTTTTTTCTTTTTTACTTATGGATAAGTTTTTAAAAACTTGTGTTATAACAACATCGTGATGTCGTTACTCAACACCATAAACAACAGTTGGTAAAGTATATGCATGAGTATTATGGTGATAATGGTGTTATAATGGGTGTTTGTTGATAATTCTATCAAATTGTAAATTTATTATTACAAAACTATAATTTATTAAATTTCCATTTTAATAAATAATATTTTTTATTATATAATATAGTTCAAATATTTTTTTTATATTTGTTAGTTTTGGGCTAT